GAGTAAAGAAACAAACTTTGCTTCAAAAGATGAAGTCGAAGTGTGAGAACTTGTTACTCTGTAGAAGTGGGTTAATCTGATGAAAGACAAGTTCAATCTATTTCACGGTAACTATTTCATGCAATTTGGGCCCGAGAAGTAGTTTCCAGAAGGTGTTTTATTGTGTCGCGTCCAATGCATCAATAACCATCGCAGAGCGCATGGGAATCACGGAGCCGCACTGCTCACTAGAAAATGAAACGTATATTAACAAGGCTATACGTTATGTATTTTTTAGGCAAAACTGTCCTTGCATTGCACAAGCTACGCTATGGCGATTCCTATTTAACAGTGAGTTGAACTTACTCGGAAGCAGAAACAACACAATGTACATTTTTTTTTAAGTGTAAAACTTCTTCACGTTAGCAATAATTAAAAAAACATAAGTACAGTATGTATTTTCCACAGAACATGATCCTATTAAGGTAACACCGCAACTTTAAGTGACCATATCTCTTGCAGGACACAAGAATTAATGCTGATGATTATGCATGTGCTGAGTTCATGGCTATGCCACATTTATGTTGCCCAATTTCAATGACATGTCGGAGACAGACAAAAAAGAATTGTGACTATGATATGAAAAGTATATACACTGTTTTACACTCGCAGTACTTTTATTTAAATTAACTCTTACCATCAATTTTGTTACATGATTAGTCCAATATAAAAACAATCCTGTAAAGTATGAATTATCATTAGATTTGGTTTAATATCACTTCATACTTAAATATTACTGCCACTTAAATATGTCTGCCATCAAGTGTGATACTTAATCGGATTTAAAAGAATTGTTTCAATTTAAATAGCAAAAGTTTAATTTCATTGGAAAAGGAGCGATAGCTGCACAAATTCTGTTTTTTTCCACTTTATTTCGCAAAATCCCTCTGAAAATTAAAAAGTTTGCTTTGATTTTTTCATGGCACACTATCCAGAGATTAGAACAATAATTATTTCGAAGTGACTTCAAAAGTGGTTGTGTGACCTCATCATCTGGGGGAGTTCTATGATACAATGTGGTACAATGTATGTATTTTCAAATAGAGATGTCTTCATCTTATACCACCATGATGCCAATAAAACAATTGGAATATAGACACATTATAATTAAATACATTGAATCATTCACAGAAAACATTTCTGAGAGTTTACAAGTGAATAATATTTTCGCATAACTCGTATAGATATCTGGCCGGCATAGAAGAGCCGATCAAATATCTTCGAAAGTAAAGGTATTCTGTCTATCCCTCTCATAGAGGCCGTTCTATCAAGCAGTGCTGTTAGGAAGACATTGGATGGCTGCATCTTTACCCTTTATATTGTAGTATTTATCGCCTTGCATGAAAGGGATCTGAATCCACTGGTTAATGTTAGCACCCGGACAAAAACACGTTCATTTAAACGATTAAAGTCCATTTCACTCACTTCGATTGCAAAATTACATGGCGCAGTGCCTTACACAATGGCCTTTTTGTTCAGCAATGAGGCTTTGCTTTGACTCATGAAAACACTCAATGGTGGAAGGGTAACTGAGGTCAAGTAAAGCAGGAAGGGGAGAGCTTTAATTTGGGCCATTGAGCGTTTACCAACTATGAGGTCAACAACTGCAGAGACGGAGCGATGATATCCGCACAGGTGCTGGGTGGATTGTGGCATTGCTAAGAGTGTGAGAGATGGCGACGGCTTTGGGAAGCCTCCATCCAGCAGGGTATTGATCACGGGTGATGATGATCAAAAAACAACCCTTAAAAGAGTATTGTCATGTCAGATTATCGATTTGTTCTCTCATATATGATTCCAAATCATTGAAACGTTTAAATATCTAGTTTCAGTTTGTTCTGGCTGAATGTCGACCACCACCTGGTGGCTGGCCATCGAACAGACACAACAGACAATTGCAAAGTACTATATACAATTTGACACAGTCAAAACCCGCAGTGATGCCATAATCGACTGATCAAAATTGGCATTGATTGTGTACATTTAATTCCGTGTTTACAACAGTGGCTCCACAGACTCGCCCCACCATAGGAACGTGGAACTTCCTCAACTGACTCGAGAGATATGCGCTGAACCGTCATTACGGTCAGAATACCACTGACTATTTAATTTTAAAGAATGTAGATTTTTTTTTTAATGATCAATAATTTTTGGAAGCATTTATTTTTTACCTTAAAATCTTCGGAAACATATGACGACCCACGACCTATGTGTAACGTGTTCCAACATTCGTTTGTCTGACTGGTTGTATCAAAACTCCTTAAAAATTGAGGGTGTGCAATGTGAGCTTGGCCACGTGGTTGTGCGGTAAGATTGACTTGGGGCAGCGTGGCACCGGGATAGCGGAAAGGGGCTTACATAGAAGTGGCTCGACAATGATTAAGCTGCGTTCGTGTTGACTATAACAGATGTTGAATTTCTCTAGATGCATGGTGGTAGGAGGGTGGAAGGTCTCAACAATCAGATGGCAGTGGCGCGCGCAGGCTTGGCTGCGAACGGAGCGGCAATAGAAGTTCAATTATTCGGACATACAGGACACGGAGGCAACAACGAATCTGGAGACGAGGGTCATAGAAGTGGTGGTTGCTGTGGATCGGTGAAGTTGGATCCCAGAGTGGTTACCCTCGGCCCACCTACCTGTGCGTGCGATCTCTGTAAGCGTGTGTGTCAACGTCGATCAAACGCTGGTCTTGCTCGTCACAAGCGGAGCTCACAGGAACCATGCATAACAAGTGTATAGATGATGTCGAAGGATTACCGACTCCTGACTACATGATGAGGTGGCAATGAGTGTAGCTGGGAAGGGAAACGCTGGAGCTCTATTTGCAATAAAAGTATGTTGGCTTTCTGCGAACGGCATCTGGAACTGCATCGAGAGATATAAAGTGATAGGAAAAATTGATGAGAGAGAACTTCTGGAATCTTTAGAAGCGTCTGCAGACGTTGAGTGCACGATATTCGTAGGCCAATGGTCAGCATCCGCGACAAATTTGCTATTCACGAACATAATCCGGAATGTATCCCTCGCGAATACCGAGGGAAATTCCCTCGGGAGTAAAAATTGTCCCGGGGGGGGGGGGGGGGGGTGAAGCGACGGTGCAGTGGTTCGTGCACAGCGCAATGAACCCGCTGACAAGTGTTAGATTCCCAGCCGAGGCTCATTGATGTCATTGGCAAGCGATATACGAGCTGGGCATGACCCTTTGCCAGCCCGCACTGATCAGTGTGAAGTAAAGTGTAAAGAAGAAAACCCCGCCATCACCGACATCGTGTGGGAAGAACTTCACCAAGTCGTGGATTGACAAAAGCAGCCGGGGTGCATAAAATTGGCAATTATCAATTGTTAATTTCACAATACATGCATTAAACCTTGTGAATAAGAATCTATCTTTCCATTTGCATCTGTTATAATGGGAATATGACACCCTTGCAGACATGATGTGCTACCATTCACTGTAATGTGAAAACACATAATTAGTTTTTTTAAATCGAATTTTAACCCCAAATCGCAAACATTCATAAATTCATCTTCTTGGTTCTTTCGGAAGAAGGCTACTTGTGTTGTGGCCGAAACGTCGTGAGAATTTTGTCTTATTTTGTTTTATTGTTTTATTCTCATTCTACGTAACTTTACCGAAAGAACCAAGAAGATGAATCCTTGCAGTCACGAAAGCTTTAAATCGAAATTCATTTTCTATCAGACTTGGCATCACATTTTACAGGAGATAAATCACTCGAATCACTGACGATTCTATATTTCAAGTTTTCAGCAGGAAACTTCCAGATCATAACTTTGGGGTCCAGAATTGAAGATGTTTGATTGAACATTTTTTTTTTACCATAAACTAGACTGCGACTTACGTGCCACATTTCAGCTTTTTGGTGGTTCCATAACATCGGACAAGTCGGTCATGATTATTGATATAAGCTAAAAAGCACCTACTCGCATGCATATATGTACGTTGAACTTCTTTCGCACCGTATGTAACCAACCGTGTTCATCGGAGGTGCACATGAATCCCTGTCGCAAAGTGACCTTGTTTAAAGCAGGGTGGCACACAAAACCTCGGGGTGGTGGTGCACGACACTGTCAAGGTTAAATTAACTTAAAACAAATTTTCTGAACGCTAAACAGAACGATGTAACGATCTGCTTTTTGTTTACCATGCAATTCTGCTCAAACTCTGAGAAATTTCTGCGACCGCCCATTGCTCACTTGTACAAATCTTTGCACCAACATTTTTTTCACTTTATAAGAATTTAGCAACCCACTCCAACCTCCCACCAGCACCCCTTACAAATCTAAAAGGTTGATGTGAAATACGTGATAATCGGTCGTGTTGTGATAATTCAGAGCCCGTAATTAGCCATCGTGGTGCTCAGTATTGTGCAGGAAACCACCGATACACTGGTCCTCCTTTGAATGAGACACAAGCCCGAGACTTGAAATTGTTACACGGAGAGTTTACAAGGATGGGCTTCTTGGCCGCGTTGCTATGGAAACATCTCACTCTGGGCCTTTGCGTTTTATATATTTTTTTGTAATACAGTGCATTATTAGGGTATACAATGCGGGTAGTGAGCACTGCCCACAGTGGAAAACAACAGCAATACCCTGATATAAAAAAAACACATTGTTACTGGCTTGTGCTCTTAAATGCGCAAGGAATTAAGCATCAAAGATTATTTGCTGTAATTTGTATTTATTCCTTCTGCAGATTAGCATTCCGGTGCAAATTGCAACATTCCCAGGGTATTTTCTAGTGTGAGCTAAAATGTTGATGGACAAACACACCAGAATACAATCCATAATTACTGCTAATTTGATAGCATGCCACACATCTATTGAGTAAATTCCAATATTCGTTGACAATGTTTGCATGTCTTGAGATTGAATAAAATATACCCAATGCATCCAAAATGAGTGATTTAGGGAAAACAATATGCCGCACTCAGTAATGTTAAGGAATATTAATTGAAGTGTTTTTTAATCAAGTACATCAATTACATCTCAATGAAAAATACATTTAAAAACAAAGCCATCCATCTGGTTGGGATTAAATCATGATAATTATTGACCATTCACATTGAAAAACCATTCTGTTAATTATTTTCATGCAAAGACATTTAAACGTCATCGTGCAGCGTTATACATGCGTCGTTATTGTAGAGTCCAATTCGTAAGAATTTTTAAACGAACCGCAACATAATTGCTTGCTGTCCCAATACGTGGCCAAGGGATGTAATCTATCCCGGTTTCCCCCAGCATTGCCATCCACTTTTGAGATAGCTGTCACTTGCATAAGATTACTCCCGCTATTCGGATTTGCATTACGTTCCGGTTTTTGTAGTTCGGAGATGGTAACCCCGATACAAAATTTAAACGGAATTGGCCATAGTTGCGATGATTTTCAATACAGTGCTATATGAACAGGAGGGTTATGGGAAGACTACGCCGTTTTTTTTTACATTGTAGCACTTCATTCCAACACTAGGTGTCAGTGGTTAATTGCATTTAACATATATTTTAAATGCCCAAAACAGAACGTACGTTTACTAACATGTTTTGTTTCTAGATGTTGACTTTATTTAGAAATTTATATCTTTTTTCAGGAACATCACTCGTTCTGACTTTGTAAGCAGTAAACAGTGGTCGTACATCGTGGTGATTGGCTTCAGCCATGGGAATGTGGAATTTATACCGCTTAGTTTGGGCCATAAACGGATGTGAGCCACTGCTCCATTTGGTAACTTAACATGGGAGGCATTTGATTTCGAATTTTGATACAGATTAAGCAAAAAAAACAGCGATGTTTTTCCTTGATGTGTGTAGAGCTTTTAACATTTTAACGCCCACGTCGACCTGATGCAAGACATTTTAATTCATTAAAACGATTTAACACATGTGCATTGAAAAACAAATTCAATATTCACTATAGTTTCACCCACCATTTTGAAAATATATACTAATTATTTACATAACATGGTGCAATTTGTTTTGTTTGAACATTAATGCAAAAATAAACATTTTCCTAAGAATGTTTCCTGCAAAAAAGAATAGTAGTACGTAAGCAGCAACAACTCTACAAGTCTCACACCACAAAGTCTGCAGCAATAACAAGCTTCCGCCATGATCAATCCACTGCTGGATAAAAGCCGTCACCACCTCTCGCAATCTTGCGATGAAATAATCCACCTCGCGCCTGGACGCGAGATAGTTTCATCACTCCATCCCATTGGGATTCTCCTAGAAGCTCATTCCAGTAAAAATTTCTCTTGTATGCCTATTAACCAGGATTTCTACTATATGTGCTCCCTAATCGACGCGCACAATATGAACGGTCTTGCTATCCAAGCCTTTGCACGAATACATTGCGCAGAATCGGTTTGGCGATGCGGTTATTGCATGCGATTCTAAATGTTTTACCTCGAATTAAAAAAAACAGATGGATAAAAGGATCGACCCCCAGCACCCACTCCCACATCAAATGGTACAATACAGTATATCATCTCTGTTGCCATTTTGTTTTACCATGGCGGCTTAGTAAACACATAGTTGTTAAACATTATGTATCTGTACATCTGTAATTTGACGATTTACGCTTTTATGTGCATGCTTTGTTGTCTTTCAGACAAGCTGGGCATGTCACTTGCATGTCACTTTCATCACTGCTGTTGTTGCCCTTATTCACAATCATAAATAATACAAAGCCCTGACAATGTCATTCTATGCTGCTACAGCCAGCTGTTTCGTGAGCTACGTATAGTTACCATACTTTTTGTTTGTTTTTAATGCTGTTGGATGTGTGTGAACTGTGAAACCATTTCATTTCTGACTGCTTTTGGTCACCAGGCCAGCAGTGTCTGGGCATGGGCTTATATCCTTATTTCCAACTGCCTCGGGCTATCTAACTTGCTTTTGTCAAAGGGTATGGAGCAGTTTTGGGAACTTGTTTTACACGAGTTTTCCTTTATCTTTATGTTGCAGCTTTCACCAAACAAATGAAAACTGCACAATCAGAATGAACTGCAGGATATGATATAAGACATTCATTGGGGGTGATGCATGCCTGCAATCGAGCATTTTGGAGGTGAGGGTTGGTCAATCACACAAACGGTGTGGAACTCCCTGTGAGCAAGGGGCCATACTCTGGGTTTTCAGGAGAAGGCGTTCCAGCAAATGTGGACTTCACCTTTTCTATCTGTATGCATTAGTATCGCCTCCATGCACACGTGGGTTTTATCCATGTAAACACTCAATTTGCCGATAACATCTTCATATGTAGAGGATGGCAGACCTTGGGGGGGGGGAGGGAGTAGAAGTTTTCTGTCGGTTCACTGTCTTGCTGTATTTCTCGCTCATCTGTGATTTTTTTCTCTCTCTCTCGCCTCTGAGTCATTCTCTCTTCGAAAGTGAGTGAATACTTTGTGGCATATTACACATTTTAATTATCATTATTATCATTGTTCATAAAAGAATGAACATTTGGGCTCCGAAAAACAATGAGCAAAACTAAAGTCACCTATAACAAGTTTCCTAAAACAGTTGTGGATATCAGTTGGAGGGACCCAACTGGAGAAGACAGAATATTTTTTGTTACCTATGAACGTTATTATCGGTGGACTAGCATCAAATGGATGAAGTAAAGAGGCAGATGGGAGCAGGTTGAAGTGCTTTTAGAAACTGAACTTAATCATGCAAAGCAACAAAGCAACGTGCATGTAGAATCTTTTAAGCGTGCATTTGTGTTTGCGGTGACATGGATTGGAATCATTCGTTGACAAAGAAAAAGCAAAAAGCTGAAAAGTGTGCAATAAAACATGGTTGAGATGCATGCTTGGAAACCGAGACGGAATGAGGAAAACATGGATTAGCGAACACACGCAAGTTAAAGTCACAACTTTGGCTGCTAACAAAAGTGGGCTTGGCAAAGAACGTGTTACTGTAAATAATAATAAAGAATGATTGAGACTAACAACAGAGTTTCAGCAAAAGACCAGCACACGTCCAAGAGTGACTACCATGGAGATGTAGCAATAAAATAACCTCGTCTGCAGGAGTTAGATATATTGTTGTTTTGTGAGACCATTACAGATGGCCACGGCTTGGTGAGCTCTTCATCCAGCAGTGGATAGGTCATGGCTGACAGATGGAAAAGTTGAATTGTCTCCCTGTTGGCTTTTTGTTGCTTTGTGTCTCCATCACCTGTGCAGATAAAAAGCGTCACAAATAATTTGACACGGATACCTGGCCACTAGGTAGTGGTTGTACTTTACACAAGTTGAAGAAGTTAAGAACCACCTTAAATAGCCACAGCACGAGAGTGAAAAGCAAGCAAGACAATTATTTAGATACGTGACCTTTTGAGCAAGGACCAGTGCCAGCGTGTATGATACTCTGAAAAAAATATCCTGGTATTGAACAGTCCCATAACAATTTACAGAAATGTATATCCTTTCCCTTTATAAAATGTGACATTGCATTATTTTGTCATTGGTAAAACTATATGTTTGGTGAATAGAATATTAAAAGTGTGCTCTCTGACACTTACAACTCTCTTTTTAAATGATATTTTATCACTTTACTGCATTCGTTTTATTCATGTCCATAATTTAAATGACAAAGTTATATGTACAGTACTTTCCAACAAGCATAGTACATCTAAAAGGTAAAAAGGAAATATGCAGCCCTGCAATTGCTGCTCACACCACTGCTGGCAAAGGTGGGCCTCCGCTAGAGGGAGCTTTAAAGAGCCCCTTTTATTTGTTTATTTATTTACCTACTTCTCCAAGTTGGTCAGGCATCTTCGAAAAAAGTGGGGGGATAAGCACACTTTACATGAGACCTGCCGATTGACTTAACCGTGGTCCCCACTCATTTACTGAACTCCTGGGACAGACACGGGGCAGAGGGGAAGTTAAGGAACATTCCCATCACACAACCTGCTGATCAATTGAATGCTGGGCGTCCAGAGTCGGGTAGGGGGGGGCACGTTTATAAAACATGTTTTTATTGCTTATTGTCTACAGGACTATATGGGTGCTGTGTTTTGGAACGATGAGCCATGAGGCCGCTAAGAATCACAAACGCCTATTGTGTGGCAACACTGCGTGCACTTCGAGGTGTTAAATAAAAAAAGACCCAACCGAAGTACTGCAATGCCCCCCTTGCTATTGCCAAATTACTGAATGCATTGGAACAGCAGAGGAAACGGTTGCACTCAAAGTGGTGCACATGAAGTTACTTGATCTGAGCTTTCGCATTTCTTACCGAAGGGCAATATCAGGGTTCCACCAACCCCCATTGAGAGAAAGGTGATGGAGCTCCCAGCTGTTAATCTTTATGTTTTCATGAATATGATAGTAAAGGTGTGCTCTCTAACACTTACACTGTTTTCAAATGATATTTTCTTTTATAACTTTACTGCATTCGTTTTGTTCCTGTTTATGATTTAAATGTTGAAGTTATACGTACAGTACTTTCCAACAAGCATAGTGCACATTTCATGCAAGGAAAATGTTAAATATTTGTTGCTTTGACAATTGTATACATGCAAGAGCGGCAAATGAGTAGAACATGCTGTTGTTTATATATTCCTGAATTGTTGGATGCAGTGCATATTGCAAGCTATGACTTATAGGTCAGTGACATGAACGAACACTGACAATTAAAATAGTATGAATGGTGAAATATGTGCAAAAGAAGCATGGAGAGGTGCCTTTATCTTGGACTTGCATTGAGACAAGAACATGAGGACGTGGATCAAGAAACAAACAAAAGTTAGAGACGTCATCATATTGCCTGCGAAGGAAAGTAAATGGGCTTGGGCAAAACGCATCGCCACTCGGGCTGACAAGACCGGTGCTAAAATGGCACCCAAAGGAGATTTAAAAAACCACCCAAGAAAATTACTACCATGGAGATAAAGCTATGAGATTAAAATAATGTTCAAAATCAAAGCGGATTATGGCATCACAAGACCGTTAATTATGCCACAATATTGGGAGGTATTCATCCAGCAGAGGACAGATCATGGCTGGTGATAATGATTATGGCGCACTCTGGTGCACGGACAATGATTTTGATGAAATTTTAAAATAATGTAAAATAAATATTATTTTGATTTACACTAAGGAACAGTGAGAAAAAGTGTCCATAAACTCACTATATAATACTTGGGAATATTGATTACTCATGTGTGGCTACCCAGGAGATGAGTGGTACCAGCTCAGCGCGCTGTCCTCTGGGCCACTGGGACACCTTGATCGTCTGTATTGAAGAAAGCACTGTTGTCTGTAAACAGAACAGCAAACACACTAAGCTACGTTTTTGGAACAAATATACCAATGTGTTCAGTGACTGGTTTTACAAAGTTACGTGGAAAGTGGGATATTATTTAATCAAATATCTTTCATTGTGTGTGCGAGCAACAAAATGTGTTTAATAAGAAACCAAACAGTGCACGAGACTTTGTGGCAGTTAGGATTCTTCAAGTATTGAATTTTCTTACCAATTTTTGGAAGTGACTACAATTGAGTAGGCTCTTTAATGGATATTCATATATTAATGGACATTGGTAGCAGTGGTGCAGTGGATAGCATACTGCACTATAAACCCTGGAGACTTTAAGCCCTGCGGCGCCATCGTGGCGAGATATTAACTACCTTGCCTGGTATACAGGAGATCGTGGGTTCAATCCCCACCCTAATGATTGTATATATTTGGAGTTCGCATGTTCTCCCCGTGGTCGGGTGGATTTTTCTCCAAGTTCTCTAGTTTTTCCATCCATATTCTTTGGGTCTTTCGGTAAAGCCATGTAGATAGAACAAAAAATGTTTTAAATAAAAATAATAACAATATCAAGCCTCTTTTTTCCATCCACATTTAGAAACATGCGTTTGGAATATTTGACTGATATAAATATCCACATGATAAGCCACTTCGTTTCGCTATCATTTGTGGCCAGGTCGCTTCTGAAAAAGAGCTATACAGCTCAGTGACCCTTACCTGGTAAAAAATATAGACTTGAGGTTGATTCATCAGTGCCGAGTGACGTATGAACCTTTCCCGAGTCTCCCTCCACCAACCTGCACTGACCTGTGTGGTGAAATATGGTTAAACATTCTCTTTGAACAAGACAGTGTGGGAAGGCCTTCAGCCAGCAGGGAATTGACAAAGGACTATACATTATTGTGAATATAGTTGCCTGCTGATTTGATATATTGTCCCCTTATTGTAAAAATGTCATTAAAAATGGAAGACATTCGAGTTACTGTTTTCAGCCACAGAAGCCTGTCAGAATATTATCAAATATAGTTCATATAGTCTGCACTTCACGGGACATGTGCTGCCTGCTGTGAACGCACTCGTAATACATTTACACCAGCGTCAATTTGGTGGCCATGGTTTCTCACTATCTGCCCCTTACTGTAATTTCAGAGAAATATTTCGTCTACAAAATTATTAAAAAATTTGACAGCTTTCGTACATACCATTTTACCAGGGAATATCATCAAGGGCCATGATCTATTCACTGCTGCATGAAGGCCTCTCCATGTCGGCGCCGGTCCGCACCGATTTTGTGATGCCAACAATCCGTCACGTTCCTGAATATTAGCTAATCTAATGGCTCCCTCTCTCATCTTAAAGTGTGTTCTCTCCATGGGCTGCCATTCCATTGCCAGTCTTGTTCATTGGCCCTAAGCCCTTTTAGCACTGCATCTTTCCCAAGCCCACTTACTGTTCATAGCAGTCAATATGTCTCTTAATTTGTTAAGAGACATCAGTAAGTGATAATATTACAAAGTGACATGCAGACACGTGTACATACACCGATAATGAATGAATAGTATGTGATTTTTTTCTAACATTGTAGAGAGTATTACGTTGAAATATCTACCGCGACACACCGCCAGTTGTTCATTCATTCTTACCCTGCTGAGAAGCAAGTAGAAGAACAGTTGTAGCCAATTATTTTAAGTGTCTGGGTGAGTGCTGGCTTGTGAAGTCAAAACCCTGATCTCTTAAACCCAGCATAGGCCCTCCTACCCTCAGGCTACGAGGTCAGGAGGCTTTATTTAAAATATTCCTTTGTATCTGCAGGAAAGCTGCATGAAAATGATTGGCCTATTTGTCAAACAACATGAAGCCAATTTACAATTTTCAAATATTTTAGAACGCAATATAATGTTTATATCTGTAATTTACTAGCTTTAGCAATCAATTTACACAATGTTGGTTGCAACGTGCCCATTTGTGGGGTCTCCTTCCAAAAATCCAATATTTGATTAATTGCATGTGACGGCCATAATGAGTGTTGACCCATAATTATATTTCGGAGGAAAAGCACCGTTTGCCTTGCGCGCTTAATAATAATGTCCTATTAATTCCCCACCCCCATTATAATTAATGAAAACCACTCTACAGATGGAGCAGCTGTGTAAAATCTAATTTGCTTTCCTAAAATTTGCAGCGAGAGTACTGAGTCATCCATCACACCAAGTCCAAATTTTCAAGCATAATTTATAGTAGATAATTAGACACTAACTCTGTGCATTATCTCCTTATTATCTCTGTCAGCGGGGAGACTCTAGGTGCTTTTAATTGAGCTGGAACCAGCCCAAGAATGCAGTCTTGCATATTCATTAACAGACATGTATGCGTACATATTACAGTCTGTCAAACTTGCAAAGTCAGACTATGAATTGTTCCTTTAAAGTAATACTTATTTTTTATAGGTAGGTAGTTGTTCCCCGCCCACCCCATAAAATAATTTATTGAATACTAGTTTTATATTTTTAAGGGAGATAATTTTATCTTTGTTAGAATGATGGTATAGGTAAAGGTGTAGCCCACCGCATGTGACCTGCCGGGTGGCTAACTGTAGTTTCCATACTCTTTGGTTCTTTCGGTAAAGTCACGTATGTAGGTATAAAATAAAATAAATCACGACGTTTTGGGCGCAACACAAGCGTCCATCATCAGATGGGAAACCATGGTCTGCTGCTGAGGCAGACTGTTTTAAAAGGTAGCTTTCACATTCGGTCTCCTGGGTGGATAGAGGATTTTAGAAACTTGCCCATTGTTTCAACTGCCACACCAGGAAAGACGAACCGTCGCCCTCTAGATTGCAAGTGTGTTCTTCATTACACCATGGCAGCATCTAATGACATATACATAATTACTGAAAACTATGCACATTATAATGACGCTGGACCAAAACTGGTGCATGTTAAATGTCAACAAGTGAATGTGCAAGTGATTTACAGAGGACAAAACACCATGCACAGTTTTAGGGAGCTCACATTTTTGAGAAATGTCATGGGGCAAGTTCACATACTGTATTTCACATTTTGTTTGAGGGTTTTCTGGTATCAACAGCAGAAAATGAAGAACCAGTAAAGGTGAAAACATGCCTCATCCAAATGCATCATATGCATGAAACAGTCCTACTGGATTAGCAAACATCGAAGATTTAGACAAATAACGGTCTAAGGTAGGGAGTGTAGTGAGTTCACATTTTATTGTCTGATTGGATGTCAAAAGGGCATTGGTCAGGTGGGACTTTAACAGCCTTTTTGCTCTGGGGAGGCAGAAGGGAACGTGATGGTTTGCATGAAAGTGAGGGACACTAATTGATTGCAGATTTGAATTGGAGCGCTGTCAACTAGGATAGTGATGGAACAGAAGGTCTGGTCAAAGTTGGATGAAGCCAAGTGTTGGTTTCATCCAACATCACTCTGAATTTTATTTTAACATGATGGATTTGAGCATGTGTATGTATGAGTACGTGTATGTATGAAAAGTAAGTAGGCTTGGGTACGACACACTGTTTAAATGGATTTTGGCTGGTGGTTGAGACTAATGATAGAGTAGCAGTCAAAGGAGAGAACAAAACCGTGAGAGCTTCCAATGAGCAGATGGAGTGATGAGATCAACAAATGGCGTAGAAGCTCAGCGGATTATTGCATCACATGACTGAGGGAGAGCTACATCTTGGAGAGGCCTTCATCAATATACTATTGAGGTGAATATACATTATAATATGCAATCACAAACATTGTCTGTTTGTGATATCATCTGTAATGTATAACGGAAGAGAAGGAGACATTAAAATGCGTAGACTAGAAAGTGATGTGGCTGGTATACTATATATCAGGCCAGCTCAAAGTTGGCTTGATATTTACCGGTAAATGGGCCAAACAATATTTTATAGGTCAAGGCGAAGAGGCTACATTGTACCATGCCATGTACTCCAACATTGAATAATTTTGTATGTGCACATGTACAGCCATTTTGTCAATCCACCCTCAAGTGAGCCCTCCCCACCAATGACGGTCGTGCAGATAAACACATTCTCCTGCGGAGGGAGCTGGTAGGAACGATGGGTTGCTCGGTCAATGGCCAGGGTCAACAACGGTGGCACCACGTGGTGTATTCCGCAAATATGCCCGACTGTGAGGGCGGGCACAAGCCGGCGTGAGTAGGTTAAACGTTGAGTTTTATAAGGGCACCACGGGGTGACCAGCCCCTCCCCACCCAGCCCCACCCCTCCCCCACCCAGCCCCACCCTGCCCACCCAGCCCCTCCCCACCCTCCCCACCCAGCCCCTCCCTCCCCACCCAGCCCCTCCTCACCCAACCCCTCCCCACCCTCCTTACCCAGCCTCTCCCCACCTTCCCCTGTCCACCCAGCCCCACTCTCCCCACCCAGTCCCTCCCCACCCTCCCCTCCCCACCCAGCCCCTCCCCACCCTCCCCTCCCCACCCAGCCCCTCCCCACCCTCCCCTCTCCACCCAGCCCCACCCCTCCCATTTTTCGATGCAGGACGGACGGACACACTAATGCCCTGTGGGCTGGTGTAACCAGGAGGTTCCTACCAGTATTATCTGACTGTACTTCACGTTTATCAGCATCAGTTGAAGGAGGTGAGAAGCATCGATGTGGCAGCATTGACGAACAGTAGATTTATTGACTTTGCTTCACTGCCCTCTGCTGCCCACAATGTCGCCCTGCAATTCTATGACAACTTGTCGGTGCACGGTGGCTATCCATTCAGGCTCGACCCAGATATGCTTCTGAGAACTGATGAGATCAGGCACATTCCGGGTGATTTGGTCACAGCTGTAATGCAACGCAATTTTCAAACTATACCAAAGGGCGCTTCAGTTCTCCGTTCAGGCTGTTGATGGACCACAATTGTGAATGGCTCAACATTCACTTGGCTGAATAATTGTATTGATGGCAAGACTATAAGACACTTCTTGCCTTTATAGAAAACAGTCTGGCTATGACTTGCTAGGAATCTGGAAAGCCAGTCGAGACATCCTTCCACTTTTCCAGCTTCACCAGTTGCTCGCCGATGTCAGACCTGGCCCGGCGCACAGACTAAATCAACAGCGACAGCCTTGACCTCCTTTCTCATATGCAAACGTTGTTTTGTTGTTGTTAGCGTTTACTTAATTAGTGTCTAGATTTTTTTACAAGTGTGTGGTAGGCCACATCGTTGTGAAATATTTTACCCTCAAAACACGTGGCCACATACGTTCAGCCAAGCTAATTTTGAGCCGACGCTTCACAATGTCCATTGGGAAAAATGGAAAATATCAGTTTTTATTTATGGAATTGGACAAAGCCCCAACAAAGCAAATATCACAATGCAAAATGTCAGGGATCTGTTAAGAAGCTCAAATATTCCCTAGGGCTGGGTTAATCCTAGGTCACTCTTTCTCAAAGGAAACTTGTATAATTGTCTAGACATTCCCCAAAGAGAATGTTGGCAAAACTAAGCGGGCTTTGTGGATGTTTTCTTTGTCTCTCATACAACTTTTGAGCAAACTATAAGATGTCTCCTGCCTCTCCAGTTCCAAACTGTTTGGCTGTTTCATGCTGTAGCTTCAAACACAAAAAAATAAATGATTAACTTTTTTAATCCTTGTCGCAAGCAGTCTGATAGCACGTGTGCTCCTCAGTCTATTTCCATTGTGTTTTATACACTTAGTTTTAACGTCAACAAAACAGAAAAACAGACAAAACATACCAACATGCATTAATATATTACATAAATGCGCATTATAAATGATTCAAAAAGTGTCTGCTTTTTCAAAGGCCAATTTTCCTAAGTGCCAAAACCTAAATAATTATTTGACAGCAGTTAATGTGCAAAACAATGGCAATGACATTTTTGTCTGCAATTTTGCATTTTTACAGCTCTCACTGGTCATCAGGCGTACTCCCTCATAAAAATATTACAAGTGGCACTTTAATTCGGTAGTATTCGAAAACAAAACACGCATTTTTACACACGCGTGAACAATAATGCACTTTATATTAGAGCCACACTTGTTTATTTTCCGTGGCTATAACTGATCGTATGACTTATACAACCTCGACGTAAACTACGCTTCGACTAACCATTCGGTTAAGTTAAATAAGCAAACGAGCATACTCACAATACCATAAGTGTATAAACACACTCTCAATGTGCGTGTGTTTGTTATCCGTGAAGCATGTGGGCGCAGAGACGCAAATCAAGCGCGCCCACCACCACCACCACCCCCCAACACCTGGCTTGCAGGAAACCTCATGGAAATATCCGATTATTCGTACTCTGGTTAGTCTAAAGCTCAAACACATACGAGTGCTCCGAGACACAAAAAAAACCCGCCTTTTGTTTACCGCTCATCAGCTTGTCACATGGCAGAGCCCCACACTTGCTGATGGAGCTGTCGGCAGCTTATTACACGACTGGCCCCTCGGCTTTCTGACAATGGGGGGGTGGGTGGAGGGTATGTCCATTGTGCCACCCTGTCTGCCTTGTTAGCACAGTAATGGAGCAGGTAACACGAAACCCGACTCGAATGTCGATCTGCACTCGCATGGGGAGCTGTCCTGACATGCCACTATCGCACTCCAAAAGAAAGGGAGAAAAAAAATCCATTTCTCTGGCGTGCTCCCGTTTCTTTTATTTTTCACGTGACTTAAAACAGAGGAGCGATGCGTTTCGGGCTGCGGCGCGCGTAAAACTGTCGGAACGTGATGTTCATAGTAAAAACGTCTGTCGTGCGAGAAGGCCACTGGCTGCCCATGACCAATTACACTTTAAACTAACGAGCACAATCAGCACTGTCGCCAGGCTGTTTGGGGGACGCCTCGAGGTTAGCTTAATCTGCAAGCCTTTCGCTTCACGTAGGCTGCTGTCGCACATGTCTGCATGCAGAGTCGACAAATCTCAGGGTGGCTCAGCCTCTGCATTGCATTTTTTTTTAATAAGCAATAACAGCAATTAAAAAAATGCCAAAGCAAGTAAAAGCTCAAACATTATGCCGACGTGCCATATTCTGTTGCATAACACGTTTTTGAGTACCATTCCTTTGTAAAATATGTTTTACACAACACCAGCTGGAATAAACCAATGCTGCAACACGCTCAATGTATTAGATAATTTAAATGTAGAACATATACAATTACTCAAGTCACTTAGACTAAAATATGTCAAATGTTGACTTTTAAATTACCGTAATGTGAACGTTGCAGCTCCAATTAAGTCCCATACATTCGTTGCTGTGTATAAACAGTAATGGGGAGAGCGATGGTTGAGCGGAGAGCACGCTGGGCTATGTACCCGGTGACCTGTGTTTAATTCCCGGCCACGGATAATGTTAGTATAAAGTGATATCCGAATTGGTCCTGGGCCCCACCTTGACGAACCCACTGACCAGCATGGTGAAGTATGTTCAAACAAACCCACGTGACCGACATGGCATTTATCCAGCAATGGATTAACAAAGGTGCGTAAAATATTAAAGGCAATGATGTGCTTGATGTTGTGATAGGGGCAATTATGTTTTTGGCAGCCTTAGTGTCTGAATTTGCACTTTACTCTAGACTCCAATGAGTGTGAGATCACAGTGTTCTCCAGTGGTGGCCCTGAGATAGTGGTGGAAATTCAACGAGATAGTGGTGGAAATTAAACACATTGTAGGGATATCCAGGGAAAGTAAATTTAACACAATGGGAATCTCAAAGATATTTTGGGCCTGGACTGCACTGCAGGGATTCGATTACATTTATTATAATTAACGGGGAACATGGTTAAGTAATGGCAAAGTCAAGAGTGCGTGTTATTTACTATTTACTTATATTTCCCGGTATGCAGTGTCTAGACATTTCATTTGCCCCAGAGTGGGTTAAGATGATATCAATCAATATTCCAATTCTGGAGAGGGGTAAGGTGACTGTCACATCTCTCTGGGAAAATGGGAATGATTTTGAAGAGAATAATGTATTGTAAAGAGTATAATGTTATCTTTGGTGTCTGTAAAGCTACTTCCAGATTTAGTAGATAGATTTGTGAATATTGGATTGATAAAGAAATTCCTCGTATGTAAACCAGGTAAGAGCCCACTGAGACAAGATCTCTCTTCAGTAAATCAGAAACCACGGGGGGGGGGGGGGGGGGGCGGGCATGGATAAAACTTTGCAGCACAAATTCTTATAGATCGAAATAAAATTCCATGCTTATAATTAGCCCCATGCTGTTGTCATTTAGATACATATTAAATAAACTGTGACACATTAATTCTATCATCAAAATATCGATGGTGAATAACACTGCAGCAATATATTTTGCTGACACTATTAAAGGCTACCTTTGGGTGTTCAAAATATTGTCAGTAAATTCCCACTGTATTAGGGTGAACATTAATTATAAGGTTTAATAAAGTCGTGTTTTTTAGGTGGCTTGGTAGACCAAGTTATAGCACTGTGCTTGCACCACATACCATGGGCTCGAATCTAGGTACATATGAATGTGTAGTGAGTTGATGGTCTCACCATCATTAATTTTATATATTTTAGCTTTGACAATAAAATAATTTGGTGTGATTGACATTAGACAAACACTCTTGTACTGTAGAGCATGTAAAAGTTATTTTCTCTGACACGTGGATAACATGGTCTATTAACGTGACCTCAGAAGTCGTTATGTGATGTAATTTCCAGGCCCACTCTCTGACAAGTTGGTACACTACTAGCAGTGGGTGTTCCAAATGGAATTCTTACATTGACACAATTTGAAGCCAATTGCACAATTTATGCTGATAGCACTACAATCAGTCCTTGACTTACAAACACCCGACTCAGGCTACAGAACCCATTCGTAAGTCGATGACTGTCCGTATATGAATATAATTCTAAAAGCGTAATAAAACAATAATAGTATGCAATGTTGATCATATAATGGCGTATTGTAACCTCAGACACAATGTTTTGTTACATTTGTGTTTGTTGATAAATTCACTTTCTTTACAATTATACACTTGCCTTCATTGCGTATTAACTGTACAAATTATTCTATTGAATTAATTCATATATGTAGTCATACATCCATTTACGCTCTATGATTAATAAACATATAAGTATTCACATATAACATTTCAGTTCAGACAAGGCCACTATGACATGCTAAGGTGCTGGACAGCATCAGAAACCATTTAATTAGCACTACGAATTCTCCTAGTGGCTTGTTATCCTTCACCATTGAGCAAGGATCGGGTGTTGTTTGTGCAGGTGAGCACCTTTCCATTCAGACATGTCTGCACATCTTGCCATTGCCAACTTAATGCCCTCTCTTTTTTCGTGTCTACATTTTCCTTTGGTGGAAACTGTTGCTCGGTCGTTACGTTAAGGTGTGGTAATTCTTGGCTTTTATTTTATGACTGAGCAGAGTGAGCATGGAATCAAAGTGGGTTTCTTCAGACAAAGATTCTTTGCCATTCTGCACCTGCCAGCAGCAATTATAGGCTCCTTTTACAGTCAAAGCAGCATGCTCCCCATTAATACTCCACACATCGCTCACTCCCAATAGTGCCAATCATGGGCATTTAATGAGATTATTTGACACTCTACCAGCTGTTTAGAAAGCAGAGATGTTCCATGTGTATTAATTTCAAAACATGAAACTCCCATTCGGCAAATGCATTGTTTTTGAACGAATTAAACTTTTACTATAAATTGGTCAGAGAAATTGGCTTTTCGGTCTCTAATTGATATGTTTATCAAAGTTTTGGTAATTTACCTTTGAAAATATTGCTTTTGGTTCTTCTACAATGTTATTAGAATTGCTGTCAACAGCACAGCCACTCTCTGACACACCCGTGTGTTAGAACAGCAGTGGGGGAGATATATTTGAACAGGACTTCTGAAATTCCTTCAAGAGCCTTTTATCTTTTTATGCAAATAGGGGTCACTGTTCCTCATACACTCTGCTATGAGATTGTTTACTGCATGACAATCGGATCGTTTTTTTAAATTCCCAGAGCGAAATTTTGGCAAGAATTAAGTATTGGCCAAGACCAACTTACTACAATTGAGAATCTGCTTTGATCAGGGATAGCTGTTCATATTTATCCCAGGATCTCAACGATTCCCCCTGAGTGTTCTGACCACTGACCTTTGAGCCATCTGGCCATCTTGGTTAATGTACATTAATATTCTTTTAAGTTTGAATTTATGCAAAAATATGAGATGCAGTTTTTTAGAGGAATAAAAAATTGTAACATTCCTTTTAAGCATACAAATTACTTATCTCATGGATAAATTGTTAACTGTCTGACCATAACGCTGTTAAATGGTTCAAAATCACCATCATTATCATCAGCCACTTTATATCGATTGTTGGATGAAGGCCTCCCCACGATGTCACCATCTCCTCACGGTCTCGTAAAGCAACAATCAGAATTCAAAATACAACAGTGTATTACATACTTACCTTTCTTACTTATTACTTGAACAAACTAATGTGTTACCGTATTTCAATCAGTGGTGGACGACAACAAGGAGCAACACAAAAAGCTGCAAGGTTACTGGTTCACATCTTTTTCTCCCTGTAAAAAAACGTACCTAATCAACATTCCTTGTATGCCGGTAAAAAAAAAAAATCGCTTGGTCGGTTGCCTCGGTAGAGTCTGAATCCAATGAGCAGTTTTCACGGAGTATCAAATCAGGCATGCTATTATTGGGATAACACTCACATTTACTGCTATGAGCAATTAAATAGATAACGCTTGGCAATTGTACCCATTTGGAAGGCCGACACGGTGTCTGAATTGAGTATTACAACTGAATCATTCTCACATCTTAGTGAACCTCCCATGGCAATTGCCAAAGTTACAAACTTTTGAGAGAAAACAAGTGGATGAAATTTTAGTTGACATCACCTGACATCCCTTTGTTGTAGCAATATAATAATTCAAGATCGTTTAACATATATATGCAGGATTTCGCAGTGTAATAGACATTCTGCGCAAGAGATAAGCATATTCTGAAATTACGAAAACGCCACTAACATAGCAGCTTTCCACAGCCACTGTTGCATCACAAGTTAAGAATTAATGATGCCGTCAAGCCCATGAAAACAACATCCCTCCAAGGATTCACAAACCTGCCACGTATTAAAATTACAGTTGTGATGCAATCATTTGGAATTCTAGAAATTTCGACAATATTTGAATTCCTAACACGAATTTACACCATCCATTTGCCCCGTAAGCGGTGCTGTTAATTTCCATCAGGATGACTCCTGAATAAGTAAACGGTGATGGATTCCTGACACGCAGTTTAAATCTCGTATGCCGGATAACGTGCCACAACCTCTGATTCCATGTGGATCTTCACCCTCTGCCCCAAACGCCCACTACGTGCTCATGATACTGCTGGGAAAAATATCTTCCACTAGAGGGAGATATAGATAGCCCTTTCTTAGAAGCCAACACAGAGGGGCTTATATCATAACCGTAATTTGAATCCATGGTGGGTTTGTGAATTATTAGTGTTGTGTAGATGGGCTTGAGACAGTAACATCTACAGGCCACGACCACGAAGAATCCTCAGGAATTCATGATAACGTTGAACAGATGTGTCACCGTTCACGTGAACCTCTGTGGCCAGGATTTCTGACGTTGTGATTTGTCTCATGATTACCACGATGTGCGAATCGCATTTATATCTACAATTTTGTTTCATATTCTCCTTAACCTTACATTCTGCCTAACATTCAAGGATTTAGCCAACGTGTTAAACAAATTTGAATTAAAGCTTGAACTTAGAAGATTACCTTTTTACTCTGCCAACATCACCATTCCTCGTCATCATAATCATCCTTACGAGCTGTAATGCAAAATTGAGGACTGATGGATTTCCCATCTCATTACAGTGGCTGTAAACAGGCACACTACTCTCCATTTGTGAGTTTAGCCCATGCATGTATACAATGCGATTGTACTGCTACAGACATGCTTTAGCTCTTTAATCTGCTTAGGCACTGTCGTTTATAAATCCATTTGGGTATTTATCCAAAAAGGTTTACCATAGCGATGCTATGTATGTATGTATGGTGACCTTTAGAAATATATAACACTTAACGATAGCTCTGCCAAGAT